TTCCGAACTCCCGCTCTCGGCCGTGACCCTCCGCGTGTGTGCGACGCCGTGCGATGGCTTATGGTGCGAGCGGCTCTCGGTAATAGCTCACGAACCACACTCCAAACCTCACTAACTCTCTCTATATTTCGGACTAGGCATAGAAGGAGAGGAAAAATGGAACAAAATTTCCAAAGTCCCTCATTTAACATAAGAGCCGAATGAGTATAAAGGTGAGGGAGAGAATATTGGTCAAAGGTTATGGACACTTGGCTCACACATGCACAAAAACTTAGGCCACAACACACTAAAAGCCAAAGTGACATGCATGAAGCTCCAAACTCTTCTTGGCCTCACTAAGTCACGTGATTGATGCCAACAAAATGAAGAAGAAATGCTTGATCAAAAACCCGCTTACATGTGCACGGCATTATGGAGTAAAGAGAATGAAATTTGGACCAAATTTTCTAAAATACAACACTAATACTCACGGCATTAGAGGACAAGATGGGAGGAATCTCGGACCAAACTCTAATATCCATGCCACTAACAAGCTACATAACAAAAATGCACGACATTCATGACTTAGAATAACAAAGATTCTCCACTATTTGAATAGAGTAGTGCACGGCAATTAGCATGCTAATGGTGACTAATTACCATTAATCACAAATTAAAGCTTAATCAATTAATTAAGCATAGTACTTAATTACCAAAAATATTTCGAACGTAAACGGTACGTCGAAAATAATTAATTCCGAAAAACAATATCGGAACTAAAAATATAATTTATACTGATAAATAGTCGGGATATTACAATCCTCCCTCCTTACAAAATTTCCGCCCTCAGAAATTCAGAACATAACTGAAAATACATGAACTATGTACATGGAATAAGAAATATGTACATCAGAACTGAAAATCTGGAAAACGAGCGCGAAAATCGGACTCTTCCTCCCAAGTAGCTCCGTGGCGATCCCATTGAATGCGCACGAGGGGAATATCTCGCTTCCGGAGCCGATGAACCTGACGGTCCAGAACAGCTACCGGTCGCTCCTCGTACGAAACAATATCGGGGTCGCACACGTACTTACGCAACATCGATGCGTGAAATACATTATGAATGCTTGATAACTCGGGAGGTAGGGCTAAGTGATACGCGACCTCGCCTACTCGTTCGAGAACCTCGAACGGACCGATGAATCGAGGGTGCAGCTTCTCTCTCTTTCCGAATCGCACAACTCTGTGAATCGGACGAACTCTGAAAAAGGCTGGCTCGCCAACCTCGAACTGAATGTCTCACCGATGATGATCGGCGGAAGATTTCTGACGACTCTGAGCTGTCCTGAGTCTCTGCCGGATCAACTCGACCTGATCTGCTGTCTCCTCGATCAACTTGGGACCGAGTATTCGTCGCTCTCCGACGTCGTCCCAATAGAGAGGGGAACGACACTTGCGACCGTAAAGTGCCTCATACGGAGCCATCTGAATAGAAGAATGGTAGCTGTTGTTATACGCGAACTCAGCGTACGGCAACAGTGACTCCCACTTAGCACCCCTGTCAACAACCAAGGCGCGAAGCATATCCTCCAGCGTCTGAATAGTCCGCTCTGACTGACCGTCTGTCTCCGGATGGTAGGCTTAACTGAACTCTAGCTTCGTGCCCATCGCCTCATGCAAACTGTGCCAGAATTGGCTGACGAATCTGGGATCTCTGTCTGATACGATAGTAATGGGCACTCCGTGGAGTCGGATGATCCCACGGGCATAAATTTCAGCCAACTTATCCAAAGACATCCTCATCGAAACGGGTAAGAAATGCGCAACCTTCGTCAATCTTTCGACCACGACCCAGATGGCGTCGTGATGTTCATACGACCTCAGTAATCCCGTAACGAAATCCATCGTGACTTCCTCCCACTTCCACCTCAGAATCGGCAGTGGCTGCAGGAGGCCAATCGGACTCTTATGTTCGGCCTTGACTTGTTGACAGGTAAGACATCTCCTGACGAACTCGGCGACGTCCTTCTTCATACCTCGCCACCAGAACGACCCTTTCAGGTCGTGATACATCTTCGTGCTCCCGGGATGGGCCAAATAGGGTGCGGTATGAGCCTCTGATAGAATCTCCTTCCGCAACGCCTCGACCTTCGGGACCACGATCCTGCCTCTGAACTCTAGGGCACAATCGGCACCTAGCTGAAAACCCTCGACGCCTCCGACGCGAACCTTGGCCTCCATGACACGAACGAACTCGTCAGAAGCCTGTTCTCGCCGGATTCTCTCTCTAAGTGTCGGCTGAAGTTGCATGGCACTGACACTGGCACTGGTACTCCCCGAAACTGCTATGAGAAGTGCATCAATCACCTGAAGTTGCATTCGGGCAAACTCCTGAATCAAAGGACTCTACTGAGTAATGACGTACGTCAAGTCACCCCTCACTTGTCGGCTTAGGGCATCTGCAATGACGTTCGCCTTTCCCGGGTGGTACTGAATAGAGCAGTCGTAATCCTTGACGAGCTATAACCAACGGCGTTGTCTCATGTTGAGCTCCTTCTGAGTAAAGATATACTGCAAGCTCTTATGATCTGTGAAAATCTCACAATGACCGCCGTAAAGGTAGTGTCGCCAAATCTTGAGAGCATGAACGACTGCTGCTAACTCCAAGTCGTGTGTCTGATAATTCTGCTCATGCGGCTTAAGCTGACGGGAAGCATACGTAACGACCTGGCCATCCTGCATAAGGACACATCCCAAACCTTGTCTCGAAGAATCGCTGAAAATGGTGAAACTCCGAGAAGGATCGGGAATAGTCAACACCGGTGCTGAAGTTAATCTCCTCTTGAGCTCATGAAAGCTCGACTCACATCGGTCAGTCCACTCGAACTTCACAGACTTCCTAGTCAGCTGGGATAGAGGGAGGGCGATCTTGGAAAAGCCCTCGATGAACCTGCGATAGTATCCAGCTAGACCGAGAAAACTACGAACCTCAGATGGACTCCTCGGTGTCGACCAGTTCTGAACAGCTGAAACCTTGGAAGGATCTACCTCGATACCTGCCTGAGTAATCACATGACACAGAAAGGATACTCGTTGGAGCCAGAACTCGCATTTGGAGAATTTCGCAAACAACTTTTCTCGTCTGAGGGTTTCGAGAACCACTCTCAGATGCTCCTCGTGCTCTTTCTGACTCTTCGAGTAGATAAGAATATCGTCAATAAAGACAATAACAAACTAATCGAGGTAGGAATGGAAGATACGGTTCATGAGATCCATGAAAACTGCTGGCGCATTGCTGAGACCGAATGGCATGACGAACTCGTAATGGCCGTAACGAGTCCTGAAAGCGGTCTTAGCGATATCTGACTCCTTAATCTTCAGCTGGTGATAACCTGATCGCAAATCAATCTTTGAGAACACACAGGCTCCCCTCAGCTGATCAAATAGGTCATCGATCCTGGGAAGCGGATACTTGTTCTTGATCGTCAACCGGTTAAGATCCCGGTAGTCGATACACATACGCATGGATCCGTCCTTCTTCTTAACAAAGAGAACGGGTGCTCCCCAAGGTGACACACTCGGTCGGATGAAACCGAGTCGTAACAGCTCCTGAATCTGCTCCTTAAGCTCCTGCAACTCCTTTGGCGCCATACGGTACGGGGCTTTGGATACTGGACCGGCCCCTGGAATAAGGTCTATAGAGAACTCCACCTGTCGATTAGGCGGTCCTCCTGGAAGCTCGTTTGGGAATACGTCCACAAACTCTCGAACGACTGGAACATCGTGAGGTGAACGTGCTTTATGAGAATCATCAACAAGGCTCACCAGATAACCCTGGTAGTTGCCTCGTCGCAGAAACTTAGTGGCTTTCGCCATCGAAACAACGTAAGGCAAGGAACGATTTCTGGAGCCAAAGAAAGTAATCGACTCGTCTCTCGGAAGATAAAGAGTAATCTCCCGGTCGTGACATTTGATATCCGCATGATAAAAGGATAGCCAATCCATTCCGAGAATAAGGTCGAAGTCCTTCATCTCGAGAACAAACGCGTCGGTAGGCAAAACTCGGCCACCGATGGAAAGGCTAAGATCTGAGGCTTTAGCTGAAGTCACTATATTTCGTCCCGAGACCAAACTCACCTCGAGAGGATCGATAGCGGTAGTAGCGCGAACTCCGATGGCGTCAAGACATCGTCGTGAAATGAAGGTATGTGTCGCTCCGGTATCAAATAAAGCAAACACAGGAACATTATTAAGAATAACCATTCCGGACATGGTACCTGGCTGCTGCTCGGCCTCTGCCTGATCGATGGCGTAAACTCTGGCCTGCTGTCTGCCCCTCTGCTGCTGCTGCTGAGGCTGCCTCTGTGCCTGCTGACGGGGCTGCTGCTGCTGCGGTGGCTGCTGAGGCTGCTGCGCCTTCTTCGGACAACGGTTCGCGAAGTGTCCGGCCTCGTGACAATAGTAGCACACATCCTGACCAAAGCGACACTCGCCTCGGTGAAGTCGTCCACATGTCGGGCACTGTGGAACCTGCTGTAGCCTCCGTCGAGTCCTCTTATCTGCCTGAGCACCTTTCTCTTTCCTCTTGTTGTTCTTGGGCGGCTGGGTAGATGGTAAAGCTGACGTCGGTGGAACTGAAGACGACTGAGCATGGGCGGATGGATGAGTCTGACCACGAACGGCCTCCCTCCTAATGCTAGCATCCACCTCCTGAGCATTGGAGACTGGACATGCATATGTCTGTGTCCCTTGGCCTACGATATTATGACGGACTGCTGGGTAAAGCCCGTCAATGAAACGCTGCGCTCGCTGGGCCTCCTGTTGGTGTTATATACTTAAGCTTTGCTTTAGTGGATATTTCACTTGTTA